AAAAAAAAAAAAAAGAAATTGTGTTTGGCTTTTCTTTCCTTTGGAACCAGGAGTCGAACTCAGGACCTTACACTTTCTGGGCAGGTGCTTGTGCCTCTGAGCTATATCCCCAGCCCTACCCCTACCTTTTCTATCGAATGATAGCTGCAAGATAACAGAGCAGACTGGGTGCTGACCATTATTCACTGAGGGAAAGCCTGAGTGGAAAGGATGTTTATTTGTGGGTGTTGTTTGTGTCTGTGTGAGTATGATCCAGGCAGGATACCAGATGTATTTACCCATCTGCAGGGCAGTATGGAGCACCACAGGCCTGCGGCCTGAGCTTGCCTGCTACTGTGTAAAGCAGGTATGTTCTCTACCCCACCCCATCATTTAGTCCTGAGTCTCTCAGGGATGCAGGGGACAGAGTCACATAGAGTAGGATGACCAAATGAGAATTGTCATTCCTGTGAACCCAGGTCCCTAACACCTTCTTGCAAGCTGTTTTAAAAAGGCAGGAGCCAGGTGTACTGGCGCTTCCCTGCAGTCTCAGCACTTGGGACTGAGAGAGAATTGCCACCAGTTAGAGGCCAGCCTAGACCACACAGCAAAACCCTGCCTCAAAAAAAAAAAAAAAAAAAAAGCAAGCATGGAAAATTTCAGGTATATGACCAGAGCTACTTCCAAGAACTATACTTAGACATCTAAGTAGTTTCTTGTCTCTCTGGTGGTGAGGGGTAGAAATACCTTATATGTAAATCTAATATTCACTTTTCAGGGATTTGACTTTCAGATATTTAAAAACGTATTCTATACAAAATAGCAGATTAACGAAAGGTCCTCAGCTGTGGAGGGGAGAAAGGAAGCTCCAGAAAGAGAAAATTGTCACCACCCAATCTGTTGATTATCAATGAAATACACGCCGGGGATATAGCTCAGTGGCACAGCACCTGCCTGGCAAGCACAAGGTCCTGAGTTTGATTTCCCGTACCAGAGAAAAAGATAAACCAAATACAGTAACTTAACAATTGGAGATGTGGCCTGCCACCCTCTCAGGGAGTGAAGCCAACGATGGAAATCTTAACAGCACCGGTAGGAGGCTGGCGGTGTCTCGGCACTCAAGACAGAAGCCTTGCACCCCTCTCTCTGCCTGTCCTGCAGCCTGTCTTCCTTCAGGATACAGGATTTGTGTGGGAGAGCAACCGGGGTTGGAAGGAAGAGGGAAGCTGTTTTGTGGGACTAGGACAGGACAAGAAGCGCTGGGACAGGGGTTCTGTACTGGATGTGTTGGGACGGGTGTGGCGGCACCGAAGCACTCCAGGGCTAGTGAATCACATGTAGTAATTCAGCCAGCAGCCACTACATACCCATAAGCATGTCTGAGACAGTTTTATAATCTTACCACTCCCTCTGCAACGTTCCCGGCAACCCTCAAACCTCAGTGCCTACAGCTGCGTGGGGCAATTTGTACGAGTTCCACGGAGGAGTGGACCCTTTCCTGAATACTCCACCGACAGCTCCCAAGCCTGGACCAAGCCAGTCGGGAACACACGGGCTTAGAGACCGGTCCAACTGTTTATACACGCGGTGGGCAGTGAGAATCAAGAGGTTACTCTGCTGGAGAGTAAATTCTTCCAAGGGCGCATGCGTATAGGCCACGCAACCGCAGTGATCACCGACCCTGCAGTCGAGGCACGATCCCGATTACTCCGGGCGCGGCGTACCCATCTCCCACTTTCCCGCGCGCCGCTGCTGAACCGGAAACGGTTCTCCTGCCCGGGCTTCCTTCCGGTCCGCTGGCTCCGGAAGCTGCGGTCCGCTGGTTGGTCTCCAGTCACCATGGCGCTGGCTGTCCTGCGAGTCCTGGAGCCCTTCCCGACGGAGACACCCCCGCTGGCCGTGCTGCTGCCCCCCGGGGGCCCATGGCCAGCGGCGGGGCTGGGCCTAGTGCTGGCGCTGCGGCCTGCGAGCGAGGGCCCCACGGGGCCCGCCCTGCTAGTGGCGGCCCTGGAGGGACCGG